GGAGAGAGAGAGAGAGAGAGAGAGAGAGAGAGAGAGAGAGAGAGAGAGAGAGAGAGAGAGAGAGAGAGAGTCCGCATATCTACCCCTATGCAGTGCGGTACTGGCCTACCACTACTTGAGTGTTTTCCAGCTGCAATCCCCCGATGCCAAGAACACAGAAGTATCGGCCCTGAGGGCCCAACGAACGAAGAGGTGCCCTTACGGGCCACATTCAAGCAACCGGCACTCAGACAAGCACGGTCACACACACACTCAAGCCATCCAGCACTCAGACAGGCACGGTCACACACACACTCAAGCCATCCAGCACTCAGACAGACATGCAGTCCAGCATGCATGCATACACAGACTTAGCAGAAAGCGGGAAACTCAGTCAGGCATTCAGTCTATGGGCAAAACTCTCAAATCAGCTGTGTGTAGTTTCAAGGGGGGACTGGGTGTACGCTGGCATTGCAGGACAGGGTGATTACTGGGTAGCTTTTGCTGCACTTTACGGAATCGATCAGGCGTGGGTTCAACAAAGTCTCCCAGAAGTTTCAAAGATGATGGGATGCTACTCAGATTCAGGTGTAAGTTGTCGACTGTTTCCACATCGACTGGAGAAGAAAAACAGAACGAAGATGACAACCCCCTCTTTTGCTACCCCATTGGCGGCTCCACCACCTAATAATTCCCCCTCTTTTGCTACCCCTTCAAGGAGAATTTGGCTTAATCTGGGACAGGCATTTGCCCTAGTCACTTTGTAAACCGCCCTTGTTCTGGCAGGAACCTACGAGGTCCTCACATAGAAGTTAATGATACAACCGTTACCCCAGCTCAGTGCGGTCAATGCCTGTGAAATGTCACTCAATCATCCATCCACAAGGACAAGTAAGACAGCTCCTGCTTTTAATTTATCCACTTGTAGAACAGGTCAGCAGGACAGCTATAAGCCTGTTTATGCCAAACAGGACAGTTGTAAGTCTGTTTATGCCAAACATTCTCTGTGTGTGGGCGTGGGTCTGGCCAGGCCCTAGTAGTCCACCAGAGCCTCGGCCCCCCAGTCTAGTTTTTTTTTTTTTTTTTCCCATTTCTAAAGGTCCACAGGCACGGGGGGCGACCTCTGCAACCCTATAGTAAATTTGAAAAAAAAAAAAAAAAAGAACTTTGGCTACAGCGGACGGCCGAACGTCGCGTTCAGGGCCCAACGCCGGGCCCGGGGGTCCCGAACGTTCGGGCGTTCGGGTTCGGGCGTTCGGCCCGTCCCGAACGCCGACCACCATGTATATATATACCCTGGGCCACTCTGGTAGCCTAGTATATAAGTATATATATATATCTATATATATATATATATATATATAAACAGTTTGTCACAGCCCCTCGTTTGTTGTCCTCTTCTCTCTCTCTGCCTACGGTTTACCGGGAAGTTATATCGTCACAAATAAAACTGCCCGGTAAACCGTAGGCAGAGAGAGAGAAGAGGACAACAAACGAGGGGCTGTGACAAACTGTTTATATATATATATATATCGTCAAATAGAACTGCCCGGTAAACCGTAGGCAGAGAG